GCTTATTCTTATTTATCGAAATTTATTATTTTAAGTGATCAATTTTATTAGAGTTTATTAATAATAATTTCCATAATTGATTAATTACTTTTAAAAATATAAAAATTTATTTAAAAATAATTTATTTAATCAGAAGAGTTCAAACTCTTACAGTTAATTTTTTAGGTTAAAGTCAAAAAAAGGCGTGATAGCGCTGTCAAATGGCTGTCAATATGAGATTCAACTTAAAAATTATCAACTAGTTATTGACACCCATTATTTAAATATTATAAAGCATACAATTAATTTCGATTATTCAATTTTATAAATTTTTCATATATTGTTAATTAAAAAAAAAAAAAGATGATATTATTAGATGAAGAAATTAATTTAAACTCGGCATTTAAAAAAAATGCTTTTCTAATCAAAGTTGTCAAGAAAATAAACGTTCGTAAGCTGGTTTTAACTGGAGCTAACTTTATTTTTAAATAATTAATATTTAATATTAACTGACAGTAATTTTTTTCAATTTTTTAATTAATTAGAATTTAATAAAAATTTATATGATAGTTATTCTTATTGCAGATGATTAAATATATTTAAAAATAATTTAAGGTGTCAATAATTGGGGCTTTTACCGTATTTCTTCTTAAAATTCATGAAAATAAAAAAAAATTCTATTTAATCAATAAATAATGCAAAAAAATGCTTTAAGAAACTCTAACTGTCTTCTTTCGACAAGATGGCCGCTTTAGCCCGGCAAAATGGCGCCTTGCGCGCCAAAATTCAAATATTAAAATTTTTTTAACTTATAATTTTTGCAATTTAAATTATAATTAAATATTTTTATTGAATAAAAATTCTTCCAGAGAAATTCCCGCTAAAAAAATCGAAGAAGAAGACGATGCAACAGACAAAAGCGAAGCAGGTTCGGTGTGCGACCACTGCAATCTCGAGATATCAGACAGCAGATCCTACAATTTGCTCCGCGAAGAATCTCCAGTCTCCTACGGGAATTGGCATCCCGGATCAGGATCTTCCACCGGGAAGAATCACCGAAAGTTGCGCAACCGGCGGAGTCCTATACGTAGCAGCTCCAGCGAGAAGTCAACCGCCCGCTGAAAATATTAATAATTAATTTACCAATCAATTAATTAATTGTAATTAATTATATGAAATTTTACTTATATAATATAATATTTTGTAACTAACCTTTTAAATATATAAAATATACCCGTTATATAACTTGTTAAAAAAATTATTAAAACTTCCCTGTGAAATGCGCAAGCGCCCAACACTCCCTGACTCTTTGGCACCCTGTCCTGCATTCGAGCGTTATTCTACAACGGTAACTTCTGTGGGGTAGGTCACTCTTTATTTATTTATATCTTCACTTGTAAACATTTTAATAATATTTATATTTTATTACTTTCAGATTTAGAACAAAGGAATTTTATATCTTCTTGATTAATGCGGCGGTGAACCGGCGATTAACCTGTAAGTAATTTATTTTTTCTACATTTTTATTTCTATTTTTATTTATTTATTAAGTTTTTTATTATTGTTTTTTATATAATTATTAAAAATAAATAGTTATTTTAATTTTTAATTGATTATTTGTGATTAGAATCAAGAATGTAAGAGAGAGGGGATGTGCGTCATAAATTTTGTGGTTATCTCAGATGAAGTAAATATCCGAAAAAAGTGATTAAAAAAATATTGTTAGTAATAATATAAAATAAAAAAGTGTAATTAAGTAATATAGATAGGGTATTTTTAAAAATATTATTAATTTATTAAGTTCCACGTGAGGTAAAGTGTATGATGCAAACGTAACTATTGATTTTACCCCAGCATCCTTCTCTCTCGCGGTTTTATTTCTATCTGTCTCTCTTTAACTCACCCTCGTACTAATAGATTGAGTTGTATGTCGTAATGCACGTGCATTTTCTTATTATTTTTTTATTATTTTTATTTCTTCTTAATTAATTTTTTCTTCTTAATAAATTATTTTTTAAAATTAATAATTTCTTCTGAATAAATCATTTCTTCCTAATTAAGTATTTCTTCTTAATTAAATTTTCCTTTTTAATTGATTACTTCTTTTTAATCAATGATTTCTTCTTCATTAATTATTTCTTTTTAATTAATTGTTTCTTCTCAAAAAATTATTTTTTTTTAAATTAATAATTTCTTCTTAATTAATCATTTTATTTTAATTAATTATTTCTTCTTAAAAAATTATCTCTTCTCTATTAACTATTTCTTCTTAATTAATTATTTTTTTAATCAATTATTTCTTCTAAAAAAAATGATCTCTTCTTCATTAATTATTTCTTCTTAAGTATTTACTTTTTAAATTAATCATTTCTTCTTAATAAGTTACTACATCCTCTCAATTAATTTTTTCTTCTTAGTTATTCATTTTTTAAATTAATATTTTCTTTTTAATAAATTATTTTTTCTTAATTAATCATTCCTTGTTGATTTTTTATTTCTTCATAATTTAATATTTTTTCTTAATTATTTCTTCTTAAAAAATTGTCTCTTCTTTATTAACTATTTCTGTTTAATTATTAATTTTTTTAATCAAAATCATTTCTTCTAAAAAAAATTGTCTCTTCTTAATTAATTATTTCTTCTCAAGTATTTACTCTTTAAATTAATCATTTCTTTTCAAAAAATTACATTTTAATTAATTTTGTCTTCTTAATTGTTCATTTTTTGAATTAATGTTTTTTTTTAAATAAATTATTTCTTCTTAAATTAATCATTTCTTCTCAATTAATCATTTCTTCTTAATAAATTACTTTTTCATAATTTATTATTTCTTCTTAATTAATTATTTCTTCACAACTTAAACTTTTTATTAAATTTATTTATAGCTTAAATAGCTAATTATTAATAATTAATAATTTTCAGGAACATGACCGAAAAGATGTATTACTGGGGTGAAGAGAGGGACCCGGTTGACCCGGACCAGACCTTCATAGAGTTCAAGGCGAAAATAACTCCGGCCGGCGAGTCTTCGCGGGCCGGACCTAGAAAAATCACAACGTCTCCGCAAGTCAGGAGTTGCAATGAGCCGGTTGTGGGGGTGAGTCGGGAAGACGACGAGGAACGAGGAGGCTGGGGGAACAAACTCGACTTTTTGTTCTCGTGTATCAGTGTGTCCGTCGGGCTGGGAAATGTCTGGAGGTTTCCTTATCTGTGTTACAAGAACGGCGGCGGAGCTTTTCTCGTTACTTATGGAATCGCCATGGTTTTCTGTGGGATCCCTATTTTCTTCCAAGAAGTCGCTATTGGACAGTACCTGGGGGCTGGGGGGATGACACTTGTTGGACAGTTGTGTCCTATTCTTCAAGGTAATTATTTTTAATATCAGTTTTATTTTTATCAGACACCTTTAATCTTTAACGAAAGTTTATAACCTGTCTGGTTGGTTAATAATTCCACACTTTTCTTCCTTTAAAATTTATTTTATTAATATCTTTCATATCTTCGCATTAAAAACTAAGTCATACTATTAATAAACATTAAAATTTTATTAATAATAAGGTAATTATTAATTTACAACTTAAAATTTTTAATTTTATACAAATTAATTGATATTAATTATCCATACAAAGTTTAGGTTATGTACTAATTAAAAACTTGATAAATTCATATAACAAATAATTTAACGCAAGTTATTAATTGTTTAAGAAGAATATTTAGATTAAAATTCAAATTTTACTGATTATTCTAACTAACAAGTGATTGGTTAATCCCCTACTAGTCTTTGTTCAAATCTAGGTTATTAATATAGCTTCATAGCTTCACATTAAGAACAAAGTGATAGTATTAATAAAAATTAAAATGTTATCAATAGTGAGATTGTTATTAATTTACAACCTTATATTTTAAACTTTATCTAATTTTTTTACAAACTACTCTATATTATTTATCCATAATAAAAAAAAATTTAGGTTGTGTAATAATTAAAAAATTGATAAATTTTTTATAACAAATAATTTAATGCAAGTTTTTAATTGTTTGAATTTTAATAATTTAATTCGTTATTTAATGAGAATTTAATGCAAGATATTATTTGTTTAAATCTAGGTTATTAATAACCTTCATATCTTATTAAGACATGCATCAAGAACAAAGTAATAAAATTAATAAAATTTTTATAATATTATTAACAGTGACGTAATTATTTTTAATTTACAAGCTACATTTTTTAATTTTTACTTTTTTACTAATTACTTGATATTGATTACCTAAATAGCATTTAGGTTATGTAACAATGAGTTTTAAACTATGAAACAATGATACAATGAGTTCATTGTTGGTATTAATTCATAATTCCCATATGCAACAAAGACTTTTTTATAAAATTAATAAAATACAAAAGAGCAATATTTAATATATTACAATTTTTCTAATAATTTTTAAAATCCATCAACAATTTTATACCTTATATTTATAAAGAAGAATTATTTCACGTTTCTTCCTTATAATTATAAATAATACCATTGTTTAACAACTTAACTTCCCTGATTATAGTTGTTTAACCTTAAAATTTTCTTCTTTGTAATTTCCAACCTCCAAAAAACTTCTAATATAAATAAAAATTTATATAAAACTAATTAAATTTTTTTTTTCAGGTGTTGGATATGCTACGATGACAATAGTCTTCTTCCTTGATGTATATTACTGTATAATAATAGCGTGGACACTATTCTACCTCATCAGCACATTTGCTAGACTAACAAAATTACCTTGGAGCTCATGCGGTTGTTAAACTACTAATTCTCATTATTTAACATTGATAACCTTCAATTAATATCTTCCTTGTTTGCAGATAACTGGTGGAACACTGACGATTGTTTCGACGCTTCCAATGGCACGGATTTAAAGAAATTCACAGCGAGTCACTCGGTGAATCTGAGCCATAATGAGAGTTATCATCACACTACACCCGTTGAAGAATATTGGGAGTGAGTAACAATTAAAAAAAAATACTAATTGTTGATAATTGATAATAATATAATATATTAAAATTGATGATTGAATGAAGTTAGCTTAGTATCGAAATAACTCGAAAACATGGACCCTGATTCTTTATTGGTTCAGAATTAGAGCGCGCGCGTATGCGCGCAATTTTAATTCCTCACTGTTAAAAATTTTTGTAAAATTACAATCATATTACAAAACAAATGATATGTAAAATTACAAATCAGTGTATAGCAATGCTAAATAAAATATAATTCATGTAATTTTCCAACACCTGTCAGGAAATCTACTAAGATGTATTGCAATTTTACAATCTTCTTGTATAAACCTAACACGCATTGTAATATTACAGAACTGTTCGTAAATTTTCAAGAAAAAGCTTTTTAATTTTGCAAACATTATTTGTAATTTGATTCGGCATAATTGTATGTAAAATCATTAAAAAATATTGTAATTTATATTACAATAATCACATAAAAAATTTAAAAAGTTTTTTTTAATTTTTACAATTTTCATTGTAAAATTACACAGTGCAATGTAATGTTACCAGAAAATTTTATTTATATTACACGAATTGTAATTCTACTTCACTGTTTTCTAATTTTAAAAATAATACTTTTCAATTTTACAAAAATGAGACTGATGTATAAAAAAACAACAATGTCCTTCATATTTATTTTTACTAATTTTTAGTAGATTTCATAGAAATCTAACTATTGCAATGGTCCTCATGACGAAACTTTTGAAAAATTTTGCTATATTCCGACTTAACTAGACGAGCTGAGTCAGAAATACATATGGTCGTTTAGCGCAGCGAGCAGAAAATTGACGCTTTCCGCACGGAGGGGAGAAAAAATAATTATCTTTCAGTGAGTATCGGAGCAATTTCAATAACATTATAAAAAAGACCATTCGGCAGTCGAAATGGAAGTAGATTTCATAATAAATGTAAAAAATCCAAAAATTACTGCGATCGGAAACGACCGCGGCTTGTCACCACGATAGCGTCGCCAATTTACAATGGATCTTTACCAAACTCATTATACTTATTCTACAGATAGATACCGAGGTCATAGATACCGAGGTTCGAAGATGAGCTTAATCGGTCCAGTAATTTAGAAATGCCATGATTTCAAAATTTTCAAAATCATAAAAAATCATAAAAATTTACATTTCTTCATTTTCGTACTTGAATAACTTTTGAATGGGATAATTTATCGAATTTTTGTAAATTGCATCGGAAAGCTCTTTAAATAAGCTTCAATTTGAGTACCATATCATATGTGTAGTCCAAAAATTATGTCCTATTCTGCTATGCCAATTATGAAATTTGCTATTGCACTCGTTTTGTGCAATAGCAGTTCTTCGAACTTGACCTCGGTATCTATCTGTAGAATAAGTATCTTGAGTTTGATTTATTATGAAATCTACTTCCATTTCGACTGCCGAATGGTCTTTTTTAGTCTATGGTTGTTTATTTGTAATAATAAATTCGAGACATAATTTATCTTTTATAAATTTTAATATTATGCTCAAACGATCATTTCGAAATCAATATATTTGAATGAGTATATGTTAGACTTTTCCATCAATAAACAGCATAAAATAACACAATTAATGTAAATTATAAATAATAAGCCGTAATGCTCAATCACCACATAGGATTAGCTTATAAGAATAATAAGATGTTGAATTACCTATCGGTCGTACGGCGTAGGGCGTTAGGTATCGGTCTGGCAAGCGCGCGGCTCGGGTTCGGTTCTTAGTTAAGGGTATATATTATTTTCACATTAAATCATCTGAGTTGAACAAATTAGGTCTACGTGAGATACAAAATCTAGTCAGCGCTTCATAACAATAAAATGACAACAGATATTAAATCAAATCTTTCTTTTTTATTATTTCAATTCAAGTAAAATTCAAGGAAAGTATTGTAATTTTACAAACTTAGCTAATCTAAAAATATTTGTAAAATTACAAAACCGTTTTGTAAAATTAGTAACCTCACTGAGCTATATATGTTTTGTAATTTTACTATACCCGATTGTAATTTTAAATAAATGTTTTGCCTATTAGCTTCCAATACATTTCTTGTAAAATTACAATAGAAATTTTTAACAGTGCTAGTAATACTAATATTGTTGATGATTGATGATTCCTAACCACTGAATTTTTCCAGGCGAAGAGTTCTGGGAATCACCGGAGGTATTGAAGAAATCGGGGGCATGCAGTGGGAGCTTCTAGGCTGTCTGATGATAGGATGGCTGCTGGTTTACTTCATTATCCGCCGGGGACTCCATCAGAGCGGTAAGATAATCTGGTTTTCAGCTTTGTTCCCGTACGTGGTGCTTTTCATTCTTTTGGGAAGAGCTGTCACGCTGGACGGAGCCGAAACTGGTCTTCTCTACTACGTCACTCCGCGTTGGGAGGAACTTCTAAAACCCGGGCCTTGGATAGATGGCGCCACTCAGATCTTCTTCGCATACAGTATTGGCACTGGGGCTCTACCCGCTCTCGGTTCTTACAATAAATTTCATCATAATTGTTACAAGTAAGTTTAAGTTTTTTATTGATTATAATTTTTATAATTTACTATATCAATATATGACATTAAAGTTAGCAGTCACTAGAGAATTTTTTAATTTCTTTTAACAAACAAATTTGTCCCAAAAAATTGTTTAAAAAAAATTGCATTTTTTATTTTTTTAAATTTCTACTTGTCAATTTTTTTTGCTATAATTTAATTAATTATAAAATGTTTTTTAATTATTGAATATATGCTACATAAATTTTCATTAAAAAAATTTATATTTTCTAATTTTCACATGTAGAATTTTTTATCATAATTATTTAATTATTAAAAAATTGTCACAAAATTTATGACATTAAAGTTTGCAATTAGAGAATTTTTAATTTTTTTTAACAAATAAATTTGTTGCTCCAGAAAATTATTAAAAAAACAAAATAGGAATTAATTTTCATCTGTAAAAAATTTGAAAAAACTATAATTGCAATTTTAAAAAAATATTTTTTTTGTTCTAATAAATGAAAAAAAAAATCAATCAATTAAAAACGTCGGCTAAATTTTGTATAATTAATTATCTTCATTTTCAGAGATGCACTGATCACGTGTGTTGTTAATACTTTGACCTGTTTACTTGGCGGGTGTGTAACTTTCTCAATACTTGGACATATTGCTCTTGAACAAGGCACTGAAGTATCTAATGTTGTCAAAAGTGGACCTGGTTTAGTGTTTTTGACATATCCTGAAGTTGTTTTGAAACTTGTTGGTGCTCCTGTCTGGGCTATCATATTCTTCTTTATGTTAATTGTAAGTTCAATCATTTATTATTACAAACTCTAATTTATTGATTGATAAAATAATTAATAATTTTTTACAAAATTATTTATTGAGTCAATAAAATTAATATAAAAAATTTTTTTTAATGAAATAAAAAATTATTTGATAATATTTAATAATTATAAAAAAAAAAAAAAAAAATAATTGTAACATATAATTGCAGATCCTGGGACTAGACAGTGAATTCTGTATAGTAGAGTCTTTCATCACCGGAGTGGTAGATAATTGGCCTGACACTTTGCGACCCCACCGTAACAAGTTCACCGTAGCGATTTGCATTCTAATGTTCCTGCTGGGTATTCCCATGGTTACTCACGTGAGCCACTATATCTGCTTATTATCAATTAGACTTATATTATTCACCATCATTAAAATTACATTCATTTCCAGGGCGGAGTGTATATTTTCCAACTTATGGACTTTTATTCCGCGAGCGGGATGTCCATTCTCTGGGTGTGCTTCTTCCAGACAATAGCAATTTCTTGGATCTTTGGGGCACAAAAGTTCTGCGACTGTGTTCATCAAATGATGGGGATTCGGCTTAACAAGTTTTGGTACATCTGCTGGCTGGTGTTTGCGCCGGTTATAATGGCTGTGAGTTTTTTAATAATAATAAAAGGCATTTTGACCACTTTTTAACCAAAATTCTTTCAATTTTAACGAAAGTTTTTTTTTATCTTTTTCTATCTTATAAAAAAACATTTTTCAGAATTTTTTCAAATTTTCTTACCCCAACTAAAAAAAAAATCATAAATTATTGAAAAAAATGACTAAATTTCTATAAATTTTTCAAAAGTACTTTTTGACAAAAAAACTATTTTTGTTATTTTTTAGATTTTTAGAAAAATCAAAAATTACCATTTTATTATATTAAATTTTGAAATTTTTTGCAAATCCCAAAATTTTTTTTAAATTAAAGAAAAAAAAACTTTTTAAGTCCTTAGAAAGTTTCTAACGTCAAGAAAAAAATTAAAATCAAAAATTAAAAATGTTAAACATCAAAAAAAATATATATATATATATATATAATATATATATATATATATATATATATATATATATATATATATATATATATATATATATATATATATATATATATATATATATATATATATATATATATATATATATATATATATATATCCAA